AAAAAAAAAAAAAAAAATGTAAACTATATTATTATATAGTTCTTTTGGCTTGAATACTCAGTAAACAAAATTGTTTAAAAACGTGAATCACAGCTGGCAATAAATTTATGTATACACTTTTTCTAATTAATTATAACTCTAATTGTAATTGTTATCAATTAATATATTGTTTCATCGTTCTTTTCACCACATAATCAAAATTTTTATTTGACTACAACGATTTCCGTAGCGCCAGTCGGTGCGCCGGCCAAGACGAGAGTTTCTTTCATTTCCTCATAGTTCAAATCGGATTCCGAGCAGAGTATTTGCAGCACCTCAAGAAAATCTTCATATTCCAGACGCCACTTTCTGTGGAAATACGTGCCTCGTCAGATTTATAATATTACAATGATATCATGGACATGCAGATATACTTATAGCGCATATAGATTAGCCCGGTTTGTGTGCGCGTAATGGGCACAGGCATCAGCTTGGCCTGCTCCAGCCAGCAGTCAAGTTGCGAGAGCAGAATACTATGGAATTCCTGGTTTTCTAGGTCCGACCCAATCACCTGAACACAGGCGGTTCAAATATAAATTAGACAACTACAAATATATATATAGAAGTGCAAGGTAAATACTTATATAGAGACCTTATGATTACAGTAAATGCGAAAGAGCGAGTCGATCGTATGCTTCTTTGGTTTATCATCGTCATCAGCCATGGCGCTAGAGAGACTATATATATAACTATATAGCTAGTTGAAATATACTATATAATGATGCTCCAAGTACATTCAAACGTGTGTTGGCGATACAGACTTATTTTTTGTATATTTGGAAATGTGTTTTCTTATTATTTGTTGACAAACAAATTGCCAGGCAACTAGATGTACAAATGTACATATATAAATATGCATGTATAAATTGTGTTTATGTGTCTACATATATTTGCTTTGATTTCGTTGCCAAGTGTCCCGGTCGATGATATCAGTGTCGTTGCCTGCTCTATTTGTTGTCCCCCGGCTCCTGCACCTCAACGTTCTGTGCATTGAACTTCTCCACGAGACGTTGCACGTAGCTGACGAGCTTCGGCAGTGGCTGCTTGCTGCTGATATCGCAGGTGCGATAGGGCGGCGCAATAATCACCTGTTGGAGCACTATTATGTCGTTCAGCTTCCAGGAGAGCTCGCTGTTGCCGAAGTGCTTGGAGAGCACATTATACAATTTTATGCCACGTGGTGTGGCATGCTCGTTGCGGCTGCGCAGCACATGCTCACGTTGCTCCACAGTCTGCCGCAGGCGCTGATCCAACTGCAAGCAGAGAGAGAGAGAAAGATATAGATAAAGAGAGAGATTGCGATAAAGAGCGAATCACTCAAAGCCCCCTTGGAGGCACTTTTCTACATACGCGCGTCAAATTGAGGCGAGCGGGCTGCTCGCTCAGCTTATCTGCTGCCTTGGCCTCGCCTATTATTTTCAAGCTCTTGCAAAAGTCTAAATTCACAATGGTCTGATTGTCCTTATTCGGGGAGCTTAATATCAACATTTTGACGCTGTGCTCGTAGGTGACCACCTCGCCGATTATGATATCCCCAAAGCAGGTCTCCACATGCAATTGGGTGCCAATAGGGAAAGGATTGAAAGACATTTTGCTCGGAAAAATGAAAAATGCTTTTGACAGTGCTCGGTAAAGCGTTTTACGTAACAGTGCTGCCAAGAGTTGCCAAATTGTACAGTTAATTGTGCAACACACTAGCTCTAGAAAATTCAAGTCATGTAGCAAAAATCCCTTTTCAAGGGGAATTTCCCCTCCCCACTTTATAGTAATCAAATTAGTAAGGGGAATTGTTTTTTTTTTTTTTTTGTTTTTCGTTTTATTTCATTTTATTTACATTGTATGTGTATGTATGCTAAATATATAACTAAATATAAATGTTGTTTATATATATTTTTTATTAAATATATATTTTTTTCAAAATTAAACCTTTCCTTTTAATATAATTTATACGATGTATTATCTTTAAATTTAGTTGTTTTTGCCATTATAATTGTTGCACGAGTGTTAATTTTTCTCTATTAAATTGTTGTTCTTCAAGACATATATATTATTTAGTTAATTGTAATTGTATGTGTTTGTAGCTCCATTAGCACTATTAGCTATACGCTATATCTAACGCCCGAAAAATTGGTATATATGTATGTATATAAAAATGAAAACATGCCTTATTCTTGATCTAGGCGTAATGTGAGAAAAGGGCATTAATAAATTCTTGGAGAAAAGCAAAAATAAAAACAAACAAGTTCTAAGCGCATAATATATATTGAAAATATCAATATCGAAAAAATATGAAACAAGCACGTACACAAAACAAATATACTTATACAATTCAAGAACACATACGTATAAAAGTTTTTATATGTATATAAATATATTTATATATACATAATTAATGGCGTTTAGATATTTGTAATAAAATCTGCTTCAATATGCAATAAATGTATTTGCCATTATTCAATCCGTCTGTCTGTTCTAAGCAAGTCCGTCTGTCTACTCTGTCCCTTGGTCTAATAACTGCTTAGAGTTGTTTAGTTCCCCTTTTAGCACTTTTTATGTGTATTCGTTTTAAGCATCTGCTTTTGTTTCTGCACTTATGTAATTGCTGTAGTTTTTCCATCTAAATTTAGGTTTTACACGCCCGGTTTAAAGTCTTAATTATGCTTTTAGAAATCACCTTAAATGTGGAGTTACTTTGCTGACGATTTAGCTAAGTTTAATATTAATTCAACACGAATAACTCTTGTAAGATGCGCGACAAAACTACATGTTTTTGTTTTTGCTTTTACATTTAAATATATATATATATATGATTTTGTTATGTTTTGTTTTTGATTAGGAGCTTGGCGGATCTGCATATGAAAATGTGTTAGAATTGCTTTGCCCTTGATGTTGCTGTTCGTGTTAAAGTTGCGGTTGCATTACGTTGTAAGGGATTCATTCATGTTTAATATCAAAAGGAATGATATATATGCATAATATATATGTGTGTGATATATATATATATATTTATAAAAATAAAACAATGCACTTCCGATTTAACCGACACGTCGCGAGTCTAACATGGGACCATCGATCGCGCTAACTTTTAGTCGGAAATAGTAGACAGAACGCGCCAACATGCTTGCAGCAATGAAGAACAATGCAGTGTAAAGAAAATACATGCCGACGTGTTCCTGTGGATAAATAGAAATATTGTGTTTAATGTTGTTCTCCATTTATCTGTTGTCTACTCGTAGTTACCGATGCATATGAGATTGTGCCAACGGTTAGACCAATGCTGCCAACGAGGAAGAGCAATGCGACGATAGCAAACAGAATTCCGCGACTATTGGCAAATCGCGAGCCCACCGAAGAGACCTTCCTGCAGTGAGGACAGCGAGCCAGGGCGTTGTGATAGGTGTTAAACTGTGGATAGAGAACAGATTTGGGTAAGTGCTTAGTGCTTAATGACGGCTTGCTCCTGCTCTTGGTCTTACCAAAAACGTGTCCGAGCAGTGACCACAGGTGACGCGGCACATGCCCGGCATGGTGGGCACTGGTGGTGTCACTGGACTGGGAGCGAGATTGATGATGCGCTTGCAGTTGGGACGAGGGCAAGCGATGCGTTGCGATGAGCTCTTGCAGATTAACAAACAATTGCAAGGACAGCGCACATACTTCTTGCCGGGTGGTGCGTTCCTTATGGGCTGCAATGGAATGGGAAATAAGTATTTTGCGTAGGATGGCAAAAGGACATACTAAGCGCCACTCACAGTTGCCTCATTGCAGTGGGTGCACTTGACCACATGTTGCTCCCGTTTTGTGGTTATGTCAATCATATTTTGACACACGCGACAGGTGACCATTGGTACGCCGCCAGTGCCGCTGCTCTGATACGGCGGTGGCAGCTCATCAGGACCAATAAAAGGCACCGACTGCGCGGTGCTGCCTGCAAATAGCAAAGAAACGAGTGAATGTCAGTAAAGAGCCAACTGAAGAATTGACGACGATAAACCTTTAGTGTAAAACAAATACATCTTGATGCTGTTGCAACTGTTGTTGCACTGTTTCTGCTGCTGCCGCAAGCTGGAAGCTGCATGAAAGCAGTTGATTGAGGGCGATTGATAGCGGCTCAAGTGGGTGTGACAGTCATGCAGATTAAGGCAAGTGGGTCAATGTTTAGACACTCTCGATTACCAACCACAACTAGAAAATCTACATTAGGCGCCTCATTGCAGTTTCAAACAAGTTCTTTGATTCTCTCCGATTCAAGGGGAGAGAGCCCAGTACGTTAAACTGCTGCTATAAATAGCTCACAGCTTAGCCCTGAAAGGGCTGCAGTGATCCGGTTCTTGGCATCAAGCAAAAGAGTAAGTGCAAAGGGGAGCGGCGTCGGGGCAGAGCCCAACATTTGTCTGCGCAACGATAATGGAAAAACAGGCGCATGACTCATGAAATGCCTCTCTGCCTGCCAGCCTTTGCCTTCGTAGTGCTGATTAAACAGCTGAACGACGACGACGGCAACGACAACGAAAACGCTACCGTTGCTGACTGCGCAGCGCCGAATTGATATCAGGGCATAAACAAAACAATAGCATGCAAAGAAGTTTTTATTTTAAAGCCGACGTTTGAATATGCTTCTGATAAGCAGTTGTGGGAAATGATTAAGTTATTAGCAAATAGTAATTGTGGTAGAGATAGCTGATGGGGGATATAATACATAGACATAGGCGAAGTTTGAATACACTGAAAATCAAACGAATACTTTTATAATAAATATATATATGAATATGTTTTTTAACACATTTCTTTTGCATATTTTGCAATTCGAAACTCAATGTCAAATTATTTTGAGACAGATTAAAAAGATAATATAAGAAGCTGTAAGGGTATCAGGCTCAAGGTATCTTATGTCTTATGTCTTATGAAAAACTTGACTATATGGTATTAAATGACTTCAAATTCATTGAATCTGGTAATCAAAACTCAAAACTCGCCGACTTCTTTTTCGATTTATATTTTGTTATATCTTATTAACAGATGCTCAAAACTTTTAAAGCCATATTCATCGCAGTTTATGCGCACCAGTTACTAACGCTTCGCCATAGCTGTGATTGCCTCCTCGCAAGTAATGTCACCGTATGACAATCAGCCATGAATTGGACTACGATTCGGCATCAAGTTACGAACTTTCTTTCGAATGTCTCGCAGCTAACGTGTAGTTATGGCACACGCCCACATTCACACCAATGAGGCGCACCATATCAATGACTCAGAGGGAAGTGCGAAAATCTGGGTATGCAATGTTAGGCGAGAGCGACAGCTAAACAACTGGAAATCACAGTGGCTGCTAAGTAGAGCGCACACTTGTTGGGTTTCCAACCAAGACAATTCACGCCCGCATAGATCCATATGCACGCATGCTGGCGAGCGCATGGGCGGGGTGAACGCACTTATTTTTATTTTGCATAGGCTTAGGTTTATTGGGTTTACAGCTCTTAAATTTGTATTACGTACCATCTTCGTTATTGGCTACGGCGCTGCTGCCCGGATTTTCGTTGCCTTCGGTCGGGAACGATGTGTACGAGGCCGAGGTCGGTTCGTCTTTGTTGATCAAGCTTTGTCTCTCGGGATCAGCCATATCGGCACTTTTTCTCTTATTTTCCCGTTACTAATGCACGCACTCAAATTGCAATTGTCGCTGTTGTTGTTGTTGCTGGTCTTGTTGTTGTTGGTGTCGCTGCTACTGCTTTTTGTGTATTGCAACGCAAATGCTTCAACTGCAAATAATCGAAAAACAAACACCAAAATTATTTGTATGCTCTATAAGCATATTTTTAGTTGCTTAAACAATAGCCAGCGATTTCTTTGTTTGGTGCATTCGCATGTTTTTTCCTACATTGTTTTTTTTCTTTTCCACTCTTTGCTGTTGAATCCTCCCTTTTCGGCATGCGCTGCAATAATCAATTTTATTGCTTTTTTAGCCGCATCGGGCCTACAAAACCAGCACACTGGCTCGATATTTATCACTCGACAAGTCGATATATAGAATAGTGCTAATTGATTGATGTTTTTATATTTCCTGTGCTATAATTTACCTTATTTTGTTGAAATTGCACTGCTGCTGCCTTCGACGAGCATTTAGACGCTTGGCCACACTGTTCGCTCAGTTTGGCCACACCGAACACTTCCCCTCATTTTGCAGCCCTTAAGTTATCTATGCAGCCCTAACATAGAGCTGTCGCTGTCGACCAGCTGATGTACATACGTAGTTACGATCTGAGTGCAGATGGCGGTCAAACTCTAAAATGGCTCAGAATAATGAAAAACAGCCCTCCAAAAAAGATATTGAGGAATCCAGCTGTTGCAGTTCAAAAGTTTGTAATGCTTATAACAGTTCCAGTGATTCTGAAACAGAATTGATAAATCTAAGCCTGCGACGCAAATCCCGCCAACGCCAATTTACACAAAGCTTCTCATTTAATCCGTTGCCACTGAGAATTATTGGTCACGGGGAATTGGAATCCATTTGTGCTACTTCGAGCTCAGTACGTGAAGTGACTTTAGGTGCGCCGCAATTTATTGATGATAGCTCGGATATAGACGTGGACACTGATTTACATATATCTAATGACAGCAGTGATTCAACAACTAATAGATCCATTGTATATCCTGGAAGAGCTTTAAATAAATCTGATATTGCTGTCAAGAGAACAATACGCAAACGTAAAACTCGAAAGAAATTAATCTGTTACAAAACTATGTAAATAAAAAATCATTTAAATAGCAAAAAATAAAATAAAATATTAATTGCATTTAAATTCAACTGCAATCAAAAGTGTCAAGTGCAAATGTACAGGGCTGACTGCGACGGCCGCTTTGCAACACTGGACCAGGGCTACAGGTTGGTTTGTGCATTTTGGAGTAGTGGTAAATTTTTACAAGCATAACTATTTATATGCGGTTTTTATGTAAATAAACCAAAGCATACGTAGTCAAATAATTCGTAAAGTGTAAGTAAAGCATGTAAATAAACATCTAATGAGCTGCAATGCATAAGATTGTTGTATTATGGCGAAACAGTTGCGTGAAAATGTGCGATGATTTCATTTTGTGGTGGTGSTGCTGCTGCGCGTTGTTGTATTGGAAACTTCGTCGTATCTTTGCTTTGACGCTCGCTGTTGTTGTTGTTGCCGTTGTGGCTGTGGCTGCTGTTATTGTTGTTGCCGTTGTTGGCTTAGGTACGGGAAACACAGAGCCAAACTAGCGGCGACGTCAGCGACGCACACAAATGTTTATGTAGCTGCTAGAGTGTGATTTAGGGCGGCATAGACAGCAACAACAACAAAAACAACTATAGAGACAACATCAACAATGAGAACACCTGTTTCTAATTGATTTTTCGCATTTTCAGCAACGCTTTCAGATCAATGACTTAACATCAACAACTGTGTTTTGGCATTATTGAGAAAAGAAAAGAGAAAGAAATAGAAAATCTGAAGTGAAGTGCCACAAAACATAAGTAACAGACCAATTATAAACGAATTTGCTATATATAGAAAATAGGCAAAATAGATAAAGCCAATAAGCAACGAACGAACGAACATTTCTAACCCTGTTTGACCACCGACTAGTAAACAACATAAAACGCATAAGATATGGAGGCCCCACCAATGTTTAACAGCGTCGAAGACGAGTGCAGATACTGGAAAGAGCGCTCAAAACAGTATCACAAAGAGTATGTATTCAAAGAGTATATCAGATGATTGAGGTTATTTATGCGTTCGCCTTTACGATTTGCAGGTGGACAGATGTGAAACAGGAATACGATGAGTATGTTGAACAGTCGAGAGAAATGGAAGCTGAAATGGACGCCACTCTGGAGCAAAAACAGAGTATAATCAAAGATCTCAGAGCCAAGCTTAATATGTTAGAGAAAGAAAACGATTCCCTCAAGGTACGCTCAAGTCATTTAACATTAGCTCGGAGTTGAAGACAAATATGATTTCACTTACAGCTCAAGCTAGACTCACATGGCATTGAAATGTCAAATCTGGATAAGCAGCTGGAGACGGTAAAGAAGGAACGCGATTCCATGAAAGAATACCTGCGACAATTGGAGCAGAAAAACGATGATCTGGAGCGTGCACATCGCATACTCAACGAGAGCATAGTAGACTTTGAGAAGATGTTGGACAAAGCCTATGAAAAGAATGCACTCCTTGAGATGGAGGTGGACGAGAAGGAGGTTCTGCAAGAGAAGTTACAGCGACTAATGGACGAGACTCGTGGTGAGTATTGAATGTAGCTTAGCTAAGAACTTCTTCTCAATGGCCTTCCTTTTGCAGATCTCAAACAAGAGCTCAATGTGAAGTCGCGCTACACTCCAGCGAATGGCACAACAACAACAACAACAACAGCATCATCAGCAGCTGGTAACAGCTCGATGAACTCCTCAGCATCGCTGCCCAATGGTATTGTGGGCAATGGTGATATACTGCTGCAACATGACAATGCCACCACAAAGGCGACTAGCATGAGTGTGAATGCTCTAAATGGCAGTTTAAATAATAGAAACGAATATAATCAACAGCAACATTCGCTTAAAAGTAAGATACTCCACTCGTTGAAGCAAACAAAACGCGCACTCAAATTATCAAAATCAAAATCAATATCAATAACGAAATCATCTTGCCATACCAAATCAACAAATTGCTTTTAGTCATCATATATATAATCACAACACACAGCATTGCCACACAATTGCACAATTTGTTAAATGTATATATAAGTTTTTTTTTTGTAATTTTATTTTTCATTGCTGTATTTCTGTATGCACAAAATTATTAAATGTAAGCCAAATTTGTAATATTTGCAACATTTCTCGTAGGCAATCCATGTGTGTGTGTGTGTGTGTGCCTGTATGTGTATCATAATGTTAGTTTGTTAAACGTGTTGTCCCTAACAACCATGTCATCATCTCGTTAATTAATTGTGTGTCTTAGGCCTAGTCTACTGATATAACTAACCAAGCCGTGTTTGTGTGCTTCCTTTGCAGATCCCGAGAACCTTATCAATGGCAATGCTATGAATGCCAGCTCCCGCACCACGGCGCTCAACATTGTGGCCGACATGTTAAGAAAACTGAACGTAAGTCCCTTAAACCAAATAAAAAACCAAGTCAAGCATGGTGTCAGCAACGCTTACTCTATACTCCATGATTTTCTCTACCTGTATTCCTGCTATTAGTTTGTGCTTTATCCATTTTTTGTTTGGCTCTTTTGTTGTCTTTTTTTGTTCAATACTTTCTTCATATGTTTTAGTTGGACAAGGCCTTGTTATGTCCTGATTGTCAAAGGTTTCGCTGCACTTGTGAGCGTGCTGCACTGTCGCCAGGCAGCGAAACGAGTCTCTTTCGTCGAGCCTTCGTCAGCACGAGCAGCGCAAGTGGCAGCAACTCCGCCTTGGCAACGCCCAGCAGCGAGGGCAGCAACAGCGGCAGCTGGACGGACTGCAACGCTAGCCGGCGAGCCAGTTTGGCCAGCCTACAGTTTGGCACAAACATATTTAAGCGCTTCGCTGAGCGCATGCGCAGCATACAGGACTCTGAGCGTATGCCAGGGCCACCTGAGCTGTGATGCACAAACCAACGATATTTGTAATTGCTTTTGGCTTTTGTCTAATGTCTATTTTTGGCGCTTGCATTTATTAATTGCTTTTCGTTAATAAATAACAAACCGTTTAATTTGTAACTGTATCTGTTCGTTTTTTGTTCGTTACATTGTGTTGTGTTGATGAATGATATTTTATATGCTTCCGTTTGCATTGCAGGCCATGGAGACAAAGCTGAAGACATATCGCGAGCACGCGCCACCAATGCAGCCTCGTCAATGACCATCAGCAGCAGACAATGGGCAACTATTGCTGGAGTAGGCGAATTGACAGCTGGGAGCAGCAGCAACAGCAGCAGCAATCGTCACATGTGGCAGCTGCACAGTTTCGTCTGCAGTTGCAGCAGCAGCTGCCATTATGTTTAGTTTTATGTTTATAATTACAGTTAATGCGCTACTGCCCCTCAATTATTTATTTTCTTACATTGAAATGACTTGTAAAAATGAAAAATAGTTATTCAACAACAACAGCAAGCAACTAGTAAATAATACGACATTATTTACATAGTCTGCGGACATCGATGCCCCGCCCAACATAACTGATAGCGCCTTACTAAGTACTTGTATTGTAATTACATTAATCTTAAGTCTGAAGCTAATCCTTTTGATTTCTCGTGTTTTAAGCATTGTTGAACGGCCTTCAATTGTTTAGTTATTTGGCAAGACATTCATGGAATGCTTGTAGGTATATCTAGAGTATAGTCATGTCCTGACGGAGCTTTGTTAGTGCACCAATACATGTACATTTAGCACTCACAGACGTACAACACACACATTTCGGACATGGCTTAGCGCGTAAGACATACAACTTAAGTTCAGCTGAGTCGAAAGTATTACAGCCCCAAAATCCGTACACACACACACAGATACAGATACAGATATAAAGATAAACAGATATACAGATACAGATACTATTTAACTGGCAACAAATACTCGTAGCATTAGAGTGAGGTTGATGAAGATCGTGTGGCACTTACACTTAAGTTAAAGACAATTTAAGACACCCACATCTCACATACACATACACAGAAATATTTAGTTAAATTTAACAACGTACAAAATATATAAAAACGACAGCCAACAATTAAATATTTTCCGTTTATATTTTCAATTGAATATAAATTATGTAAAAATGCAAAAAAAATTGTTAAAATTAAATAAAACAAATGTTTTTTTTTTTTATATATATTACAAATTGTACAACACACGCTAAATTATAAATAAAAGAGATGATTAGTTTTAAATAGAAATTTTTTCTTTTCGGTGACTTTGTTGAGTTCTGTCGCATATGGTCTAAATAATGGATCAACTAAATATTTGTATTAATTTAGCGCGGGCTATGCCAAGGACAAGTTACTGCTACCTAACTCATACATAGAAACAGACACACACGCACGACTCCTGAAAGCTTTTCAGAGCAGCTTTCATTTCTCCTTTTTAGCACATTCGGTGCGGATTGGTCTTTGGGGCTTTACCCCAGCGAATTATGCTGTGCATGGAGCATGCCGCAGCGTAGCTGACCTTGCCACAAGCAGCGGCTGAGTGAGTGGTTAAAGGTGGTGGGTGGAGGGTAGTGGGTGGTGGTGCTGCTACCGCTGCTGACCGTGAGCTAACGTTAAGCTAATGAAAATGCTTTGGTTTTTGCGAACTAAGCAGCACGATTTAGCGCCGTTGTCTGCTCTGGCATTGAGTGCAAATATTTTTCATAACCAGCGACACCAGCAACAGCAGCAACAACACCAACTGGAATAACAGCAGCAGCAAATTGGCAGCAGCTTTTTATCAAGCTTACAGCAGCAACTCCGACGCCACGAGAAGGTGTTGTTGTTGCTGTTGCTGTTGAGTGCATTGTTTATTGTGTCGTCAAGCCGAAGCCGTGCAACCAACAAGAGCAGCAGCAGCAGCAGCAGCAGCAGCAACAGCAACACAAGCCATAAGCGGATTGGGTTGTGCACAATGCAATTCCCCGTTTGAAAATAAAAAACACGCTGACACAAAGCTAAGCTTATGTGCATATATATGTCTCTCTCTTTCTCTCTCTCGCTCTCTATGAGGGTGTGAGTGTGTTGGAGCTGCTTATTTTAAAAGCAATTCAAAGAATTTGCGGTTGGTTTTTTGCGCTGTTGCTGCTGCTGCGGCTGCCTAATGAACTCCCACGAGTTGTGCTTCAAATCTGCGTCAGCTAATTAAATGTGCAAAACTACAAATAGACTGCTAAAAGCAAAGCGAACTAAACAAATATACATATAAATATAAATATAAATGTATATGTACAGCTGCTACTTGAGTGCGCCACTGAGCGGTGCTAATAATCAGGGTCAGGTTATAGCAGCCATAACAATACACACACAAAAAGTGAGTGTGTGCGAGAGAGTGAATGAGAGAGAGAAAGAGAGTCTGCATATTTGGCAAACCATTTGTATGAAGCTGAAGTGTAATTGTTTTCACATAAAAACAGAGCCAAACAGCTCGTAAAAATTGTAGCGAAAAGCTTGCTGATTCAAGCTGAAAGTTTCAGCCTGTTAAATCTTGAATACAGGGTGCTTCGAAACAGAAATGAATGGTTGAATGTTGAAGCTATAGATATAAGGTCAAATATAAAAAGGCTAAATAAATAAAAACTATATAAAATGTAAATTAAATGTACAGTAAATTCTTAAAGAAAGTACCAGCCCTATTTTTTAGAATTACATTCATAACAATTTAAGGCGTAAATTACTTCAATATAAATAAATTCTCGTTTGCGGCTCAATTTATTTACCTATCCATACAATAGGTGCTTCAATTGCAATCTAAAAACCTCTCAAGCCAAAACACCCTGTGCTTACAATGAATGTGCCCATTCATACAATTTGTATTCCAATCGGAATCTCCGGTGCTTTCAGCGAGGTCGCCCATTCATACGACAATAATTCCAATTGAATTCCCAGAATTTCGTGCACCACAACACCCTGTGCTTACAATGAACGTATTCTCTGGTATGTGCACACTTTAAATATATTTTAAAGTAGCGTTAAATAAATGTGGCAGCATGTAAATGTTAACGAAAGCTTTCATCCAGGTTGCTTCGTTGATGATGTTGCTGATGTTGATGCTGATGTGGATGTTAATGTTGATGTTGACGTGGATGTGGATGTGGATGTGGATGCGGCTGTTGCGCCTTAGGGTGGCTATTCGTGGCATGTCCTGAGCTGAGCGCGCTTTCGTGCTCAGTCCTAAACATCAAACAAAATCGATATGTGGGTGGGTTTGTACTTCAGCATGATTTTCGGCATAAACAAGCCATGCAAACATATACGCACACATATAGGTGCGCCACAGGCTAACGGGGGAGTAGGGGCGAGGGGCGAGAGCGGGTCGAGCGACTGTTGTCTACCGTCAGGCTGGTTAGGGGACTTTGCTTTGTTTGAACGCCGCAGGACGCACATTTTTCGTAATGAGTTTGCCTATGTGCAAGCCAGGCCGAGACAAGGTGAAAGCCAGAAAGCAGAACTCTCAATACTAAACTCCACGCTGGGCAAACAACAAGGGCAGCAGCTTTGGGATATTTTCGTAGCTGCAAAGGCTGCAATAATAAAAGGCATAATTTGCTTTAATACAAAACCAGAGACCTTTTCCATACACAAACACGTAGACACACTGACACGCAAACACACGCACACACCCACATCCATACACAGGCAGACATACGCACTGTTTGGCCCAAAGGACATGTCGATGCTTGTTAACAGCAGGCAATGGCATCGTTGCCGCCATCTTTGCCAACTTCCGGTTGGCATTACATCCGTCGTTGGCAGCTAGCAACTGGCAGCTGGCAGGTGTATACTATATAGGTGATTGCCAGCGATTTCCAGGTGTAAATTTTGTTACAAATGAATTTGATTAGCGCCTGTCCTCAGCTTCGACATCTGATCAAATAACGAGCTACAACTGCATTGCAATTAGCTCTCTCTTTCTTTCTCCATCTCTCTCTCTCTCTCTCTGTTGCCCTCACTCGTTTTATCTTTCTGACTGTTAATTAGCTCAGAGGCATGCCACGCCCATTGAATGCTATGTGCACATCATTAGCAGACATTGGTGAGATTTAATTAAATTGAATTGGCCATTGGCTACCAGGCAACAGGACAGTCGATTGAGATCCTTTGAAATGTTTCGTTGCGCTTTAGCTTTGCATTTGATGTTGCAGCTAACTTCAATTAGTTACTTTGTGTTTGTGTGTGTATGTGTGTGTGGCACTTTTACTAATTGAAGCCAGTTCCTGTTGAGTATTTTTCGTAGATATTTGCTGGCTTTTGTATTCCGTTTTCAGTTATTGCTGCCAATGGCCGCATAAATTGCCCAATGAAACGAGCTGAAGCCATGTGCAATCTTTTTATGGCTACCCCAAACGAGGTGCACAAATGTTAAAAAAATGCTACGTTGTGTCTGTGTCAGCTCAGTTGAGTGTATGCGAGTGTGTGTGTGTGTGGGTATCCACCTTACACACACATGAACAAGCGCTACATGCGTATGGCAGGCCATTGTCTGTAGCAATGCTCTGATTTATGTTATACAAAGAACAGACAAAAACACACTCACGCACACACACACACATGCACATACATATACACTGGCAAGCACACTCATAAAAACTTATTCATACGTGGCACATATTTTGAGTGCTATCTTTAATATTTCTTTCGTTTTGGGCGCGTTCCAAGTTGCGTTAGCAAATAGCCTGCACTTAACTTGTCTTAACTTGGCCAGCTAAAAGCCAATCAGCTGAAAAGTATGCTATATTTTTGACTCTACTCCCTAGCTGATTCTTGATATATGTTTAGGTAGAATGGGCCTTTCTAAAGCGAATTTTTTTTTAGCTAGCTAGGCAAATTCATACTAGCGTAACTTACTTGTTTAAATATATACTCGAAACTCCTTATGTATATAGCTTTTTTTCTATAAGAAGTCTCTATGTGTACTGAACTATGACTATGCTCTTTTTTTGCGGGCAACACTC